TATAATCACTTCTTCATCATCATCATCATCATCATCATCATCATTATTATTATTATTGTTATTATTATTATTATTATTATTATTTCTTATTATTATTATTAAGACCAACAACTTTAAACTCCAATACAAATTTCAGAATCTTCCTTAAATCTGGAAATACAACTACCATCTAAAGCAGTTCACAAGTTTTTACCAGAAATGGATGCTCATGTCTAATAAATACAGGGGTTCTTAACGAATTTACACTCGAGTTTTCTCTACTTACAAACAGATTCAACAGACTTTGAAACTCACAAGTTACCTCTAATATGTGTTTCTATGACACAAACTACAGGGAGGTGTTTGTTAACCAAAACAAAAACCTCGAGGGGTGATTGTAATATCATGAGAAGACACTCACGAGATTGAAAGATAATTCGTTATTTTTGGTGATTAGGTCAAACAAAAAGGGTAGCATTATAATCATCCCTGTTAAACATGCATTGAGAAGGAGACAGTAGCAGTTTCTACAATATATAAATTTTCTGAAATGATAGAAATCTTATGCATTAATGCATATTTGAGAGGAAAAACAATGAAGTCAGACCTTCTGAGAAAGATGAACGTCGCCCTTGCCTTTCGCAGAAGGAACTGTCTCATTCAAACTGACACACGTCTCTTTCTGAGTCACCTCTCCACAATTCCCACATTTCAGCTAGAAAAATGCAACAAAAAATGAATAATAGTTGTACACAACAGAGCTCAAAATCCAAATAAGAAATAGACAGGTAACCATTCTTATTCATAAAACTGAGAAACCTATGCCACAGTTCTATTTGCTCAACCATAACTTGACATAGAAAAACAAAGTGATATGTCCAAATCAAGATAAGTGAGACTAGTATTTAAAGTTTTCCAATAATCACAAAAACATAAGAGGATATGATCAAAGAGAGGCGTTGGAATCAAAATACTGAAGTGGTGTCTTAAACTTCCAACTAAGTTGCTGTTACATAAAAATTGAAGTGACAGATCACAGCAAATTTCATTAAAAATTTAAACGAATCCTATTAAGTAGATGAAACAGAATTACATGAGTTTTCACATTGAACAGTACAAATAAAAAAGTGTTCTGTAACTCTGCTGAGAACCAAGTTGACTACACAAACAGTTATCAATGGGCAAGAGTAAGTTGAGCAGCACACCAAACATTGCAATGACATTTGCCAAAGAAACTGTAAATTTGAACACAGAGGAAGTAGAAAGGAATCAATTTCAACCTAATCAACTTTTACCACATTATTCTTCAAGGCTATGAAGTTCTCAAGTAAACGAAAGTTAATCAGATTAGATGCAAAAATTCACATTAACGAGCCCAAAATATGTAAAAAGCAATAACACGAGAACTGTTTCTAAATAGCTAAATGAGCTGAAATGGAAGTGAAACACTCAGGATAACCAACCCATAAACAATAATTCTGCTTCAATACAGCTCAACAGAACTCACTTATGTAAACCAAACATGCACGTATATTAATACGAAGCATAACTATGTAAATACTCAAGGAATAACTTGGGAATTCTGTGCAAATGCCATGAATCAGCAGAAATATGATGCCACAATCACTGATGATAACTGACCCATCAACAGAAATTTAGCCTTTGATACAGCTACACCGAACGCAAATGGATACACAGAATCGCACGATAGTACCATCGTTACCAAATACTAGACACATTTTTGTAGGTAATTGATCCAAAATGAGTGTAAATCTGGGCAGAAATGAAACAATTTCAACCACCACTGAGAAAATGAAAACATCAACAATAAACAAAAGTGAAATACACACACACACACACTCGACAGTGTCATAAACGGCAAGAAAAAAGTACAAACCCATAAACAGCAGTGATAAGGTACAAGTTCAAGCCAAGACGAGCGAAAATCTAAGTTCAAACGATGGATTATTATGATATAACCAGAAACGCAGCTCCAATTCAACAAACAAATGTGAGAAGGAAGACAAAATACCTTGAAATAGTATGTGAAGTTAGGATCATCGCAACCACCTTGAGGCTGAAGGGCGGTAATATTCTCGAGATCGGCAGCAATCATCAACAAGTGGTTCACCATTTTTTCTCTTCTCGTCTATAATCTTCACTTACAGCGTGTATTTGTGACACATTTTATACTGCCCCACAAATGAGAGTCCACGCGGTTTACCATAGGAAATGTAAGGACTAAGGACTGATTGGATGCAAAATCCCCCTTTATATCATTTCTAAACCGAGATTAAGTGACATACTCGCACGAGATATTTAATGTAACAAATTTTTTAATTTTATTGTTTGACTTGGATGAATCTATACTTATATTAAAAGTCATACTATTTACCAAAAATAGTAGCAAAAAAAGTCAACTCACATTTAATGCATACTTTATTTAGAAATTTTTTACTATATGCATTAATTGCTTGCATATATACATTTCCTATTCAAATATGATCAAAAAGATTCTTTCCTTAAATAATTTTATTAACTTCTGCAATAATTTTACTGATATATATTATAATTCATATTTGTCGATAGTATTTTTTAATTTTTATTTGATTATTAAAAAACAAATATTTTTTTTTTTAAATTAATATTTTATTTATCATTTAAGAGATAATGATCACATCATTAAATGATATTACTGATGGCTAGATAATAAATTAAAACATTAATTATTCTTTAAAATTTTGCATGTTATTTATTTGTATCTATACTTATTATATAAGGTATCCTATTTACCAAATTTAGTAGATTGAAAAGTCAACGTAATTAATGTATTGCTATTTCTATCCAGAATTTTATTTAATTATTTTATTTATTTGTCTTATATCCCATAAAATCAGTTTAAGAAAAAAAATCCCATAACATATGACAAGTAAAAAAAAAGACGTAAAATCTTTACTAAAATAAAAAGACTTTATTTATTTGTCTTATTCCATATTAACATTGATTTTGTCAAAATAAATCCCGTAAAATCAGTGAAGTCAAAATTTGTACGTAAAGTCTATCTATCCATAAAAAAAAAGTCAGATTCAAAATTCCTTATCTAATTCCTTCTTTTTCTTATCTAATTCATTCTTTTCCTTATCTAATTCCTTTTTATTATCTAATTGTATGAAAATCTGTTTTGATTTTGTTCAATCCTCTAATTGTATTTGTATTATATTTCACAAAATCGGTTTAACAAAAAAAAAAAACACCATAACATCCGATAAGTAAAAAAATAAAGTACGTAAAATCTTTACTAAAATAAAAAGGTTTTATTTATTATCTAATTTATTATCTAATTGTATGGAAATCTGTTCTGATTTGATGGTACGTACTACAAATTGTGCACCCGTGTTTAGGAGCTACTTAACGGGCAAGCTCTGTGGAAATGACTCATTTAGTGCTTCTGTTCCGTGCATACAGCATGTATTTTTATTACACATACTAGAAAATTGTGCACCCCGTGTATCTCACGGGCTCTATACTAATAAATGACCTTAAAATTGTGCACCCCGTGCATCACCCGTGTTCAAATTTTGGCCTATTACAGGTCACGTACTATATATATCGCGCACATTTTTTTATTCATTTATATATTATAAGAATGAATAAATGACTTTAAAATTGTGTACCCCGTGCATCGCACGGGCTCTGTACTAGTTTTAATTTATTTCATATCCAATAATATCTAGACTTGAAATATTCATAAATATACTAGATATTTATGATCCTTTTAATAACATTAATTATGTTTTAATAATATTTATTATAAGGTATATTTTTTTTCATTCTTTTTTTTTAAATTATAGCAAATTTACTAACTTAAAATTATATATATATATATATATAGGTTAATAAATTTATTATCTATTAACAAAATTTTATATATAATATATCAAATCAATCATGTCTTTTTTTATCGTTATCAATCACTAGTACGAATCTCATGCGATGCACGGGTAAGAAATATTTATTAGTATTTATAAATAAAAAAATATGCATTAAATAATATTTTATAAATTAAGAATATTGAATCAATATGTAATACAGTTTACCTATATTAATTTTTAAAAATGTTATACGAAATTTAAATTGTACAAAATTACATAAAATATGTATATTTAAAATTAGTACACAACCCATACAATGCACGTAACTAATAATAAATTATAGTATATTCATTTCAAGATAATGTTATTTTAAAAAATTTTATTCAAAATTTTGATTTAATTACAATGTGATTCAATAAAATAAAGGTTTTGGTAAAATGTTATCATATATTTAAAAATCTATATGAATAATACGTATAATTATAAAACTTATATTGTTTCATTAACTAAAATGAATTTATTTTCGTATGACCTATCCAAATCAAAAAAATTAAGTAGTTGAATAATTTATTAAACTATAAATAATTGAATAATTCATTTGCATCCAAGTTAATATTAGCATAAGTTATGAATAACTACTTATTTGATCTTTAAATTTAGAACCTAAATTTAGACTACACAAATAATTTTTTTTATATATATTTCATGTATAATATATATATATGTATTATATATATCTCACATTTTTTTAGATTTGTTGTCAGTTACCTTATCGTTCAGAATTATCAATTAATCTGTATAATTAAATTACTAATTTTAAATTTTATTAAGCAATGTTTGTTCAAAGATCATTATAATTTTCTAGAGGAATATATCAATTTGTCGAATTATCATCAATATATTATGGCAAATCATTATGCGAATATGCTAAATTTTAAGAATCACATCACCTTGATTTTATAAGAATGTGGTTCATCCACATTTTATTTTACATTCTAATCAACCAAGTGAGAGATGATAGAGAAATATTATTACCATTTTCAAGATATCTAATTATTATTATTTTTTTTCTTATTTACATTTTATTTTTTATTTTTGCCAAGTGACAATATTATGTTTGGTCACATTGTGCACGCAGATAATTTTTAGATTTAAAGTTGTGAACTTAAGAAATATCTTATGTGGTTCACAATCCATATAAACAATTGACATTTGTCAAAAATTATGTGATAACAATATTTATGCATTGTAAATGCTCTTATTTTGTTTTAAATAATTTCAAATATACTTCTATTCATTTCAAATAAAATTCATACTATTTAAATTCGAACATTTTGTACCAAAAATAAATCACCCACTTTATACCACAAAATCAGAAATTTATTATTAACAACACATCCCCCTTTTATATAAATTCAAAACGTGCTGAGCCTAAATGGCTGGCTCGCACGCTTCGGAAGCTTACTTGGCAACATTATATGCTTCGGAAGTTTGGTTCGGATAAAGGTTAGTATAATTATATTCCAATTTTTAGGTTCGGACATACTATATTTACATTCCCTAATTGTCTCATTGATTTATATTTCCAATTAATATAATTAAACTCGAGTGCTTTTAATTTATCTTTTAGTTTTTGGAAGCTCATTGATTTCCAAATTGAAATTGTCAATGGAAATGGAAAGCAACAAAGCAACATTTACACTCCTAAATGGAATACTCGTGAAAAACAACTTTTGATCAACCTTATAAAATTATTTATGTCATTACTATAATTATGACCGAGGCTTTCTTATGTGAAATATATGATATTGATATTATGTCAATTTTTTTGGTATTATGTGAAATCCAATCCAATCATTCCATATGCTTCATTTTTTTTCACGGTATTATTCCTCTTCACCTTTTTATCAATATATATCATTCCAAAATTCCAAACTTATAATATATCATTAATGTATACCCTTCATTTTGACGTCCCCTTCATAACGATATTCATCAAAAAAAAAAAAAAAACATTACAATGACAATTGTTTTCAACACAATTGAAGAAATCACTCTGGTAGAGAAACATAGAAGATACGAGTCCGTTGTGAGCGTGTATGGTTCAAACATGACAAGAACCAACGTCAAAATCGTATGGCAATGGAGATTTCCGTCTTAGATGAAAAGGTACATTATTCTTTTAATATTTTGTTGTTTTATGATTTTTTTTTAAAAAATAATCTTCCCTTGTCTAATAATATGTCTTCACTTACCTTCATATAGGGTGGAAAAATTCAAGCCATCATTCCGAGATGGCACATCTCGAAATATGAAGATATTATAAAAGAAGGGTCATTTTATATGACAAATTTCGAGATAGAAGAGAACAAAGGTGATTACAGAACCACCCAACATCCCTATATGTTTAAATTTCACGAGTGTACGGCAGTTAGACCCTCGGACTCTCGAGATATCCCTCGCTATAAGTTCAATTTCGTAGATTTTAGTGAATTGAGGAGCAACTCTGACTACATGAGACTCTTATGTGGTACGCAACTTTATTTTAAAATCAACAAATATTTTCACATCCTCGTAATATTTTAAAATTTTTACTTTTGTTATTGTGATTCTTACATAGATATCATTGCCGAGGTCATAAAAATTGATGAAGTCGTTAAGTATGAAAGCGATGGTCATGAAACAACTAGGCTTAAGACATATCTGCGTAACTTGAGGTTAGTATCATTTATTATTTATTTATTTTTTTAATTAGTCACATTTTAATCAATTTTTTACGTGAGTTTATATATATAAACGAGTGTAAAAAAATATATATATTTAGTTTTATTTTGTGAGAATTGATCGTGAGGTAAAAAAATAAAAAATAAAAAAAAGACGTTGTTATTATTAATGATGGTAGAGTTTGAGGGGCTGGGAATTTTATTAGTATAGTTGTTATTTTTTATCTAATTAGTTTGTTGCATATTGGTTAGCATATTACTAGGTTAGCCGCGTTAGTGGTTATTAGATGTTAGGATACTATTTATTTTGTTAGCAGGTTAAAAAAAAATTATTTATACAATCATATATGTATATGTGAAATATTTAATATAATCATATATGATTGTACACAATATATGATTATATATATATATATTAATCATTCTCTTCCTGTCAATAGTCGATTCATATGTGGAATATATCATTTATACTACAAAATATTTAAAATCACTTTTATATGATTATAGTTATCACAACCCGAAATTTGGTTATATGCAAT